GCTGAAGATTTTTATAACTGAAGCTGAGACAGAGTGGGCCATGTGCATGTTTAGAACAGTGCCTGCATTGTGAATCATAACAGAAGTTCCACTTGTCAGTCACAAATGTTTAAGACCACAGAAAGGCATCTGATTTGGGACAGGGATGACAAAATAGATCTTCTGGTTTTCCCCACTTTGCCCTGAATACAAAGGGATTGATGCCTGCTCTGGGATGAAGTCTTGCATTACTTTTGGGACCTACCTAATCGTTAAAAAAGAAAGAAAATTCCTATCTGGAAACACTCTTGCTGCTTTCTGAAAGAAGTAACCTTAACTCCTGGTCACCCAGTGGAAAAAGAAAGCAATACAAAGGTCACCGTGCCAGATTTTTGGTTTTATTTGCTAACCATCAGTTTTCTTCATTTTTCTTGGAGTTAAACGATGGTGATAATATTAAGAAATATGACTCTTGTTTGACGATATGTCAATCTTTAAAATGCCTTGACTCTCTGAACTACGCATTACATTTTTGAAGAATTTATTTGGCAGATAAAGTGGAAGACGTGGGAAACACATTTATGAGGATAATTGCAGCAACATGGCTTGCAATTGCTAAGGAGTGAAGACAACCTGAAAGTGTTCATTAATAGTGCATTGAAGCTGGGCACAGCAGTACGTGCCAGTAATCAAAGCCCTTGAGAGGCCATGGCAGGATTGCAAGTTCAAGGCCAGCCTGGACCACACAGCAAGACAAACAGATAAACAAACAGATAAACAATAGGGGACTTGAAAAACAAATAGATAAACAACAGGGGACTGAATAAAACAAATACCGAACATTTCTACAATGGAAGACGGTGCAGTCATGAGCTTTGCAGCACACCTCCGAGTGATTACTGATAAAGAACGTGCAGGTGGGTAAGAAGGTACTGTGGAAGTTGAGGGGCACATATTCTTACATATGTGTGAGATGCCTTTGGAAGGACACACAAGAAACTGGCAAGCGTGGCTCCCTTTAAGAACTGGGCATGGAAGAGACAAAGCTGGAGGAAAATTACTTGTCAACATCTCTCTTTTTTGTACCTTGTGAATTATTATATGTTGCTCACAAGAATTTATTTATTTATTTATTCTTTTTACAAAAATTTAGATAATTAAATGAATAAGTAAAATACAATACAATATACTACACAGAGCTGGTAGACTAAAATAAGGTGAGGTAGGATTAAAGAATTAGAAGTAAATGGGGCGTAAGTCTGAAGTCCAGTCTGTCCTTGTCACTGACTCAGGAACTCTGCCTTGCTCTGCTCTCTCACTGATCTGCCTAACTGGTTTCCATTCCTACAGAAGGAGGTCACAGATAATATGCAGCAAGGATTGAAGCTGCATTGGTGCTTTACCTTTGGCCCTTATTAGCAGTAATTAAATTATTAATACTTATTAACACTTTAGGGAGAAGTAAGGGATCTGGACTAACTCTGGACCACCTCTGAACAAAGGGTCTTCTTACGAATCTATTTTCTAGATTCATGAGCTAACCCAGTGCCTCTTGAGTACTCAGTACTTGTCGGGGAGAGATCCACGTCATTCTTCTAATGGCTATTGATTTATAACTGATCACAAAAATAGTTACAGTGAGTCTTTTCAGTTCTTTATCCATAGTGTCTAAGAAATTGCTGGATATCACAGAGAGGGAAGAGCACCATTTAGTGCCACTGCTGAAATACTGAAAGGAAAAAAAAGGCAGGTGGCATGGTAACCATATACAATTTTGTGACATAATGATCACATTGTGTAGCACAGTCAACCAGGGTACCTTGCTGCTATAACTTATCCCACTGTACTGTTAATTTATTTGGCCTCTCCACTCCATGGTGAGCAGCGAGAGCTTAGTACTGTCATTTTTTATATGAACAGTGGCAGACAAAGTCCCTGAAACCTAATGAGTATCTAAGTCTTCAAACTGGGTTCCAAAACAAGTTTGAAAGCAAGTTAAGACAGTGATTTTTTTTTTTTTCTTGACTAAAGTTAGGGACCTTTTCCCCGGAGAAATACACATATCCACGTAATGGTTTCCTTTTTTTTTTTTTTCTGGTACTGGGAATCGAACTAACGACCTTGTGCTTGCCAAGCAGGCGCTGTGCCACTGAGCTAAATCCCCAGCCCCTTTGTTTGTTTTTGTACCTGGAATCAAGCTCATGATCTCACGCTTGCCAGGCAGGTGCTGTGCTGCTGAGCTAAATCCCCAGCCCCTTTGTTTGTTTTTGTACCTGGAATCAAGCTCATGATCTCACGCTTGCCAGGCAGGTGCTGTGCTGCTGAGCTAAATCCCCAGCCCTCATGTTATGGTTTCCATCTAGATGTCCCCTCAAAGCCTCATGAGCTCATAGGAAGTGACTGGATCATGGGGGTGTGATATTCATCAGTGGATTAGTCCACCGATAAATTTATAGCTGAATGTGATGTTGGCTGGTAAAGCTTGGTCAGAGAAATGGGTTAGCAGCATTTGGGGCCTGGAAAGGTCTGTCTCCCTCCTCCTCCCTTGTTCTCTTTCTACTTCCTGTCTGCCATGCCAGGAATAATTCTCTCTGCCACGCCACCCTGCCTTGGAGACAGCCAACTGTGGACTGAAACCTCTATAGACAGCCAAAATAAACCTTTCCACCTCGAAATTGAGGGAAGTGACAAGAAAGTAACTAAGACATCACACATGCGAAAAAATTTAATGCAATTTCAGGGAAATCTTGGGACATTGTCCCTTTCTGCACTTTTTAGAACTGCAAGCAAAACAGAGATTCTAGATTTAGAAATTCCTAGATTTAGAGGTTGGGGACATAACTCAATAGAGGAGTGCTTGGTTAGTATACATGAAGCCCTGGGCTTGGTCCCAGCACCACAAAAATGCCCTCAAAAGCTCTAAACTTACAGTGTATAACCAGAGAGAAATGGAGACATCTTTATAAACATTTTCAGTCTCTATTTTATTTTATTATAGTACTGGGGATTAAACCTAGGGCCTTTACCCTGAGCTACTTCCCTACCACTTTTGGAGATAGGGTCTGGCTCATTGCTAAACTGCCCAGGTTGAGCTCAAATTTGTGATTCTCCTGCTTCAGCCTTCCAGTGTTGGGATTACAGAGATGTACACTTGGCTTCCATTTTTTTTCCTCTTACAAAAATCATGCTTCATCTTCATGTAGAAATTTTCAGTTAAGAGGGGCTGGGGATTTAGCTTAGCAGCACAGCACCTGCCTGGCAAGCGCAAGGTCATGAGTTCGATTCCTGGTACCAGAGAAAAACCAAAAAAAAAAAAAAAAAAAAAATAAAAATAAAAATAAAAATAAAATAAAATAAAAAAAGAAATTTTCAGTTAAGGTAAAGGGTCTTTTTTATGCAGAAATCTGCCCCCGGCTGGGCTGAAAAGAATTTATATCACTTCTTTTTTTGAAAAAAATTTTGTGGTGCTAGGGATTGAACACGGCCTCACATATGCTGGGCAAGTGCCGTACTATGAAGACTAAGCTGTACTCCTGTCCTGATAGTTTCACATTCACCTACAAATGAGATATTCTGCAGTAATTGTAGGGAAATGCATTTTATAGTAAAAGTGGATTCATTTTCAATTCTTTTTTGAGACAGCGTCTTACTATGTTATCCAGGGTATCCTAATGTAGCCCAGACTGGCCTCAAACTGGTGTTTTTCCTGCTTCAAAGCATCCCCGGGATTACAGATGTGTCACCGTGGTCTGAGCAAAATAGTAACTTTAAACAAGGTATACTTCCTGCCTTTCCTAACTATGCACTAATGGTCAAGGACTGGGGCGGACAGGACAGATATGTCTCAAGATCACAACATGATGGGGATCCTGATAAACTGAGGGAATCAGATTTTTGCGTCTATGTATGTGTGATGAAGACAGTAGTGGGTGGGACGAGCAGAGAGCAACTATACATTCTTTAAGGGAAGAAAATGAACCTATATTCATTTTATAAGAGCATTTTTCTGGTCATGTACAGCTGTTAGTCCCCTACCTCCAGTTCCCAGATTATCCACATGGAGACTGTGAACCTCTGGATGAGCGCTGGTGGATCATACATGATTAAGACAACACTGACTAACCTGTGAATGCTCCCCCTGCAGAAAAAAGCTGCAACCATCTTGACACCTGTCCCAAGACCCGGCCTGTGAACCTTTCACTGAGTGATGCTTTTCAGATGAACATCATATAAGGAAACTTCAGAGCTGATCTGACACCAATAGCTACTCAAGGGAGGATTCTCCTTGGCAACATCCTGGCGGCTACAAGCTATTTAAGAGTCCTCATTAATAGCCATAGAATGTGTTCCTAGTCAACAGTAATCATTAGAAACTGCTCCCTCATACGGAGCCAAAGCCTATTTTCCAACCATATATCTAAGCTCTGACTTTTGAAGGCAGAAATTAGCCGATTCTCTCCCATATCGTCCAAGTATTTGAAAAGTTTTGTACTTCTGAATTCACTCTCCAGACTGAACTCCTTAATTCTTGTGTATATTTCTCTCAAAACATTTTCAAATTTATCATCTTGTTCCTGCTCCTTCAAGCACTGTAATGCTTGGCTGAAGTCCGCTTGTACACAGTGTTCCAGCTATGACTGATCTAAGTACCCTGGAGTCCAGAGGGATTATTCTTTTGATCTGGACACACACTATCCTCAATATATTTTTCTGTGTGTGGCAGTGGGTGGGGATCAAACCCAGATCCTTGTATGCAAGGCAATGCTCTACCACTGAGCTATATCCACCTAAAAGGCTTTTGTGTTCTCTTCCTTAAGAGAACCACTATCTAGTACGGTTTTGTGTTTTTTACCTGACAATCAAATGTGTGTAATTTCAAGTTGGTCTCAGCACCAACTCAGCACCTTTTTGAGGTGGGGGAGTTTTCACTATGTTGCCTAGGTTATGTTACCATACCTGGCTTTTAAATATCTGCTTTTGAAGCCACCAATTCTGTTATAGCAAGGCAAAATAAAACAGTATTTTAATGTTTCAATGTACTTTTTAATGCAACTTCCTTGGAATATGGAAAATTCTACTTGTGTACAACAGAAAATGAAAAAAACCAGTCATGTATGAACGGGCTGATCCATTGGGGAGGCAGGATCTCCATCGACCTCTAATTCATATACAAAAGCTAAAGGCAAAATGGTAAAGTACAAAATTCATTCTCTACCAGTTAAGGTATTTGTAAGTACAAAAAACAAATCAGTTATTTTTCTTTGAAGAGCTGCTTTTCTCCCAGTTTGGTCTCCAATAATGCAGGTTCTTGTTGACAGAGCAACAAATGCCCATCTTTCACCCTACTGCCTTAGGGTGGGTAAGTGGGTAGTTCAGGTGAGAACTCATCAGTATCATAGGGAACATGCAGTAGTACTTCTTACTAGAGGGGAAAACATATTTCAGGCAGCATAACATCAGGACTCTATTTCTCTTCTCTGCAGTATCTTAAAACCAAACCTTAAGGAATCATGCCTACTGTACATTAGCAAAAGATGTTTTAAAACCTGCCCTTAGCAATATAATAAGTGATGCCTAAAAGCAAAGAAACCAAACCAAACCAAACCAGAATAGGCTTAATTCTTCTGAATAGTCTAGAGGGACTTTGTTATACGTGGCCCAGTCCATACCCGAAATATGCTTGCCCACTTACAATTTTCATAATTACCTTCCATCGTGGTTTGGATTTGAAATATTCCCCCAAATCCAGGAGCTGCATGAAGGCTTGGTCACCAGCTGATGGGTCTTGGGGAGGTGACTGGATCCTGAGGGCTGTCACCCCATTAGGTGGGTTAATCCACTGATGAGATCACAATGTGACTGCACTGTTGGAGGAGATGGAGACTAGAGGTAGAACCAGCAGAGGAGCAGGTCACAGAGTACGGGGATGGCCTTCAGGACTGAATCTGGTCCCCAGCCCCTCCCACTCTTTTCCTCCAACAGGCTCTTCCGTCAGGATGCTCCTGCCTCACCACAGGCCTAAAGGCAATACAGCCAGTTTACCTTGGACTGAAAATCATCAAGCCAAGCCCAAGAGAAAACTGTCCCCCCTTTAAATTCTTCTCCTCAGGTGTTTTGTAACAGTGACTACAAGCGGACCAGCACAGTGTCTCAGTGCTGAGTGCTGTGCTGGGGAAAGAAGCCAGTGAATGGCTACATTAACAGTTTCAAAAGTAAGTTGTTATTTTTCAATTCTGTTAGTGAATACTTTTTAAATGAGTATTTGATTGTATCGTGATTCTTTGGTGGATTTTAAATATAAGAGGGGGTATAAATAAAAACATACTGTTGTGCTTTTGCTTTCCTATGCCTTTCAGTTTTAACATGAAAGAGTGAAAGAAATGTGAGTTTCATTCTGGTGGACAATAATGTAACTTCTGTGGGCTGTCTTTTCCACACCAATTTTTAGTTTTTGTAAGAGATAAGATTTAAAATAGCAGTTATTAGGAAGAAGACACCTAGGCAACAGAAAAAGCTGAAGAGTTTTGTTTTTGTTTTTTTTTCTACATTGCAAAGTAGAAAACAAAAGAATCTGGAGGGAAAAATCACCACAAATGTAGCTTTATGGACAGTGACATGGAGTTAACTGTGGGAGTGAGGGGCCAGGTAACTTGTCTCAAAAGGGAGGGTAGGATTTCATGTGGATGTTCAGGGTACCTGCTTGGCACTAATCACCTTGGAACTCCATTCATGTTGCTATAGCTCTGATTTTCATTGCTGTCTCTAATTTTATTATCCAATGTAATAAAATTTTACTTAATACCAAGTCCATTTGGACTAAAGCATAGAAAGATTGCAATTTTGTCCCTAGCTAGCAAAGTCATACCTCAGGTGTGTCTTGGTAACTACTGGAAGAACTATGAAGTATACAGCTGGGCGTGGTGGTGCAGAGCTATAATCCCAGCACTCAGGAGGCTGAGGCTGGAGGATTGCTGGGAATTTGAGGACAGGCTGGGTTACAAAGTGAGTTCCGGACCAGCCTGAATGCACAGTAAGACCCTGTCTCAAAAAGACAAAAAACCAAAAACCTCCAAAAATAACAAAAAAAAACAAAAAAAAAAAAACCAAACCAAAACTATGCAGTATATGATGTTTATGGGGTGGGGCGTGCATAGGGGTGTAACTAACTGGTAGAGCAACAGCTAGCATGTATAAGGTCCTGGGTTCTATCCCTAGCACTGAAAGTAAAGTTTACTAAAGAATTATTTTTTAAATTATCCTGTCTTGGTTTCCTCCTACAGAAAAAAATTAGTGCTGTGAGTTTACTGGTCTGCCGCAGACTTGGAATTTAGGCCCAGAGCAAAGACAGTTAAAAAGCAGTCCAAAGGTTTGCTTCAAACAAAAATAACCAGATAAAATAGGTTACTGACAAGCCTCTTCCCCAGAGATGAGTTTTAGCATATACATAACACTTTGGAGCAGCTGTCCTAAACTCTGCCTGAATCCACTCTTCTGGAATTATATCGTCGTCATCATCATCATCATCATCATCATCATCATCATCGTTATTAACATTATTTGAGACAGAATCTCACTATGTAGTCCAGGCTGGCCTTGAACTCACTATGTAGCCCAAGTTAGCCTCAAACTCATGTGATCTTCCTGCTTCAGCTTCCTGAATACTAGGATTACAGGCGTGTGCCACCATGCCCGGCCCCTCTTCTGGAATTTCTAAACTCTACACAAACATTCCACATGAGCACCAACTCTCTTCCTACGGCACTCTGACATTTTGCGGGTGGTGGGTAGTACAGGAGGCAGTCATTGCCCCTTATTAGAAATAATAAAAAAAAAAAAGACACCAGGGCTTACTCTAGTGCTCTGATTGGCAGCTACATCACATTGACATCTTCTATGCTGAAATGGAATTGAGTCTGTAACACAAACCCTTTAATACACAATACAAAGATCTGCAATATGTATACATTAGGCTAGTTCAGTTAAAACTACAAAAACCAAAAACCAAAAGAAAACAATAAAACTTTGATACACTGTAACTGAGGGGGGAGAAAAACTGAAAAAGAGGAATATATAGTCATTTAAGTATGGCTGAAAGCTGGGCTTCATGAGGCCTGCCCAGTATATAAACACGTTACTGAGGCACATGCTCTGGCCTTGAGGTATGCAGGTGAAAGAGCGGTCACACCTTACTGCAGGACACGGGATCAAAGTTGACACAGGGCTCCAAGAAAATATTTACCAGCGGAATGTGATGATTCATTTATAGGTCTAGAAATCCAAGTACAAAACTTCAAGATACAAGAAGGATCAAATTATATCATGTACGTGATTCAATTTAAAAATTCTTAGCCCTCTTACATTATATTATCTAGATTATAATAGTAAAAAATCAAATTACATTCATATGAAACTTTTATCAAAAGAAATCAAATCCATTTTCATGGAATTTTATAGTACAATTATTTTCTAGTGGGTGTTTTCTCAGGTCACAGTATTTATAATCTCTTTTACATCTGCATAATTTTTTAAATGGAAAAACAAAAGGCAGTCAGTAGAAATCTAAGTTTTCCTTTGCAAAAAACTCCCTTCGTTTCCAGGCCAGTAACACATGGCGATGTCGACTTGTCCTCCAGACATGGACGGCTACCAAAGATTCCAGCTCATGGAGCGTGCAGGCCTCGACTCATTAGGAACGCTTTTTGGTTTGGCTCACGTTTCAAGAAATTCTGGAGCATTTCCATGCCGTCCAGAGATCCCCCAGGTTTCAGGATCAGGTTTCTGTATTTCATTCCAACCTAATAAAATAAAACATCATGCCTAATAATTCACGGCCACAGCAGTTCTCCGAATCTCTAGACGTACAAGACAAAGGGGTCGGGTAAAGAGAAAGGAGCTTCCCCTTTGCTTGTCTACATTTTCTCTTCTGCCCACATGACAGCTCTTTAGTATTTATTTACTTATTTGTTTTGGTAGCTAAGAGATTCGGAGCTTAAACCTAAAGTCCTTTGCTCTGTCATTATTACTGCCTTCTTTTGTCTTCTAATTTCAGCAGTGAGCGGACAACGAGGGCAAACATCTAAGCAAAACATTGCTAGATGGAATACATAGCATGTTCCTATTTGTTATTCCACCTCAAATGCATTTTTAAAAGGGCTAGCAGAGCAAGTGTTCCAGGAGGCTCCAGACAGCGGATCTGTGTACCTGGAAAACAGCAGCACAGCGACTGTCAAATAGCTTCAGCTGTTTCAATGAGGGGCACATTTAAAAAACTAAAACCTAAACAACAACCCCTTTCCTATGGGTGGAGGTAGAAAGAATGGCTGTAGCCCCCCAGTGCAGGGTAAGGCATTTATGTTAGGGTCGAGGCTGGAAATGAAGACCTTGGCACCATCTTTGGGGATGGAATCTGGAATGTTAAAACATCACAGTTTCTCTGCCTTTACTTATATAAACACATGAGCGGATAAAGTGAAAGAAAACAGTGTTAGTATCAGCATCATTCCAGTGACCCTGTTTTCACTTCCCTTTCCAGGTCCTTTAAGGAAGCAAGACAAGTCAATGAAACAGAAATAAATAGATCAGATCTATTTGATCACTTAAGTTTATGTCCATTGTATCTTTTGACCAACAGGACTAATTATCTTTTTGAGTACATGAAGAGCTAGAGAATTGCCAGAAAATATCCTAATCTAACTTGTAAACTTCTAACAAGATTCTGCTTGGTACAACCATTAGAGATAAATGTAAACTGTGAGGGAAAATAAAACATAAATGAAATCCACCAAATTTATGTAAAATTATTGAATGCTCTACAGGCACAAAATCGAAACTTTAGGGGTTGCTTCCTGGTTATAAATGGAAATCATTTGCAGCTAACATCTAACTTTACGGTCTGGACACTGGTCCGAAGTAAAGAGTCAGACATAAGCTACCTTTTCATAAATGCTGGGGTGGCACTGTCCCACGGAAATATACTATGAAGTTAGCATGGTGGTATGCACCCGAAACCCCAGCATGCTGAAAGGCTGAGGCAGGAGAGCAGCAAGTTTGAGACCTGTCTAGGTAACTTAGCAGCTTGGTAAGACCCTGTCTCAAAAGGGGCTGGGCATGTAGCCAAGTGCAAAGGCACTGGGTGCAATCCCTAGTACTGCTTAAAAAAAGAGAAAGAAAGAAAAGAAATAAAAATATGAGGCATGCATATTTTCTACTAGCCATATTTTAAAAAGTTAAAAATCAAACAATGAAATTAACTTTTTATTTTACTTTTGATATCACTAGGTTTGATCCCAGACCCTTCTTATTGAGCTATATCCCTGGGCCTTTTTTCTTTTTTTTTTTGGTTTTTAAATTTTGAGACAGGCTCTCACTAAATTGCTTAGTTAAAGCTGGGCTTTAATTTGTGACCCTCCTGCCTCAGCCTCCCTGGGGTGCTGGAATTACAGGCATGTGTTAACATGCCTGGTTGTGAAATTAATTTTAAATTTTATTTTATTAGTATATGTTTGTGATACACAGTGATCACATTCAGCTTGGGGATTTGATACATATACATATTGCATTTTGATTACTTTTACTCCCTCTATCCCCCTTGCCTTCCCAAATTTTTTTTGGTACCAGGAATCGAACTCAAGACCTTGTACTTGCCAGGTAGGCGCTTATGCCACTGAACTATATCCCCAGCAACCTTCCCAAATTTTGATAAAATATTTTATTTAAACCTCTTTAAAAACCAGGCAAGCTGGTACATGCTGTAGTCTCATCACCTTGGTAGGCTGATGTGGGGGATCACTTGACCCCACCAGTTTGAGATCAGCCTGGGCCAACACTGAGACCCCCATCTCAATCAATCAATCAATCAATCAATCAATCAAAAAACAAATCACTGTATCTCAATGTTATCATTTTACCATGCCCTTCAGTTGCACCAGCCTCATTTCAAGTGCTCAGTGACCAGGTGTGGCTACTGTCTCAGGTAGGTCTAAGGCAGAGATGGGGAACCCTTTAGAGACAGAGTGTTCAAATTGCAGCCCCCAAACCCAATTATTTATCACAAAGTGCTAGTACAGCAATTAAACCTGAATACTGAGGTTTTAGTTTACAAAAAAGTGCTGTTGTCTGATGCTCTGCTGCTGGGGTGACTTGGCTCACCTGCCAAGAGGGGGCTCTGTGTGCCGCCGCAGCACACGTGCCGTAGGTTCGCCACCACTGGCCTAGGGCCTGGAGCTGAAGACCTCTGGGAAGGCTCCTAAGTGTTTTAGTATGACATGGAAAAGGCACGTAGTAATCTCCTTGCCTTATCTATAAGTTTTGGACAGATTTTCTTAAAAGCAAGAGGATCTGTAATTACTGCCACTGAATCTCCTTAAAACTCTGGTGATAAGGATTTGAAGGTAGATTACTTAGCTTTAGGAAAAATACAACGAAGCTGAGTGTCATTTCTTTTGTAGAGTCTAAACTTTGAGTATGACTATTCATGTCACAGGGCCACCTCAGAGCCCTAAGTCCAACCCTTCCCTTTCTTTCATGCTCAATGTGTCTACATTTGACTGGCATTTTAAATTAGTGGGCAGTGAGGAAACAGGGTTCTCTGGGTGTGGCAGGGCAGGAAGAACATAAGAATGTGACTTAATTACAAAAATATTTTAAATTGTTTATTAAGGAAAACTTAAAACATCTACTAGCAGTAGAAGCAATAATATAATGAGGCTTCATGTTCCTATCACCAAGCTTAATAACAATTTACCTGTAGAAGTTCTTCATGTTCAAGATTTGTACACTATATATCCTGTACTTACTAAATGATATATTGCCACAAATATTGTATGAACTGCAATGAAAAGCTACATAAAAGATTAAAAAGACCACTCCAAATGCTAATATCAAAGTATTCCCCTCTTACGTAAAGCACTGCACTTTCAGGAGGTAAGGGAAAGCAAGCATTTGAAGAAATATGTGGTCTTGCGAAGAGACAGCTCAGGACTCC